ATACATGTGGGTCTGGACTATGTAGTCTGTCAATAGTAACTTTAAGATATAACTCTTTGTCTTAAGAATATACTGTTTTGAACTCTAACAAACAGAACAGTCCTCAGAGCTTTCTGAAAGACTGTCTCCCAGGTGATAATCCTTGGGTTGGCTCTAATAAAGTCCCATATTCTTTCTCAGATTGACCGTTTTATGGACAATAGTTTGTGACAAGTTTGTGTGGTTGTGGTAAAAGTGTCCTTTTCTCTAATAAGTGTCATTCTTCCTTAGTTAGTGAAGCTCTTTGGGGAGGGATTTATTGAGTTCTTTTTGTCTGTCTTTAGGTAGATAATGGGAGTTGAGAGAAATCCTCTATGCATTTGCTGTTTTTCTGCTACAGCTCAAAATAACATACTTACAGGAGAGGGAAAATAATTTTCCCTCTACCCTTCTAAATTCTTGGCTGAGAACCACTGTATAAAGGGTAGGTTAACATGAGAAAAACAGTTTAATAACATGTACACCTCACATATGCATAAGAGATACCTAGAAAAACTGAGTAAAACTCTGCAAGTTTGTCCAAGACCCCACTTTAAATATCTTCAACTAAAGACAAAATAAGTAGGAAGGAGCTAGTTATGAGAGGTTACCAGGAAAGCAAACAAGAGTAAGGTTATTACACAGAATTAAGTCCAGTGTCTTCTCATTGATGAGATTCTCTGGTTATCCAGTTATCCTATCTTCCTGGTACAGAGAGAAAGATATCAATTGAAATTCCCTTTATAAATATAAGTGTCCCTCACAAAAAAGAAAAAGTAAATTCTTCTCTATGTCTGGTATTAAAAAAAAAAAAAAAAAAAAGCTCAAAAATAGCATATGAAGGGTGAGCATCATATTCTGCTACCATTCACAACTAAGGCACCTTCTTCTGAATGAGAAAGTACAGTATTTGCCAAAAAAAAAATAAACCCTTACTAATATTCTCAGTCGAAAATATAAATAGACTCAAAGACCAAAGGGAGCAAAACAATCCAGAGTAAAATTTAACATATGCATTATATTAGGTTCTCTCCCTCTCACAGTCACTGGATCCAGAAAGGGGAGGAGCCAAGGGAGTGGTTTCAGAGCGTCTTTTCCCGCCCGCGCTTTCAGTTCTCAATGAGGTCCGACTACAGCTTATAATTACTCTTGACCAAGCAGTAACACCACTGCTGTATCGCACCCGCAAGCAACAGTTCAGGTAGCATGTCTGGACGAGGCAAAGGCGGCAAAGGTCTTGGGAAGGGAGGCGCTAAGCGCCATCGCAAGGTTCTGCGGGACAATATCCAGGGTATCACCAAGCCCGCCATCCGTCGCCTGGCTCGTCGCGGTGGTGTGAAGCGCATCTCTGGGCTCATCTACGAGGAGACCCGCGGGGTGCTGAAGGTGTTCTTGGAGAACGTGATCCGGGACGCGGTCACCTACACGGAGCACGCCAAGCGCAAGACTGTTACCGCCATGGATGTGGTCTACGCGCTCAAGCGCCAGGGCCGCACCCTCTATGGTTTCGGTGGCTAAAGCTTCATCCAGTACGTTTATCTAAAGGCCCTTTTCAGGGCCGCCCACTCCCTCTCGGAAAGGGCTGTGATCAATGTGTACTTAGATTAGAAATGTATTCTCCTTGAATGCTAAAGTAGTTTTTCCGTGCGGGTTCTCTACCATAACACTAACTTCATCCAGTCGTTCATGTGTGAAGAGTAGCGGCGCCTTCGGTCAATAGGGCAGTAAAATTCTGTTTGGCTTAATATGCGGCGAAAGTCCCGGTGCCCTGTTTAACAAGCCCCAGCGTGGGAGGGATCCTGCCTACCCCAAAATCGTCTGTAAAAGGACTATCAACCGTAAGTCAAGGTTTCATCGAAGAGGCAAAACTTCTGGGTGTGCATGTGTGTGTGTGCTCAGTCGCGGCCTACTCCTGGATGGTAGCTCGCCAGGCTCCTCTGTCCTTTGGATTTTCCAGGCAAGAATACTGGAGTGGGTTTCCATTTCCTACTCCAGGGGACCTTCTCAATTCGATCGAACCCGCGTCTCGCGTCTCCGGGCTTTGGCAGGCGGCTTCTTTCCCACTGCACCACCTGGGAAGCCCAAAGTATTTAATATTTGTGCAAATTGCCAGAAACTGCCGGGGTGCTGCTGGTCGCTGACAAGCCAGATGAATTAAATACACTGCAGGAAAGACCCTGGGTGTTCTTAGTTTGCAGTGAGCGACGCTGGGATCTGCGCTCTGATCTCTGCAGCCCCACCACCTCGTTGTCCTCCTCCGGGTCTCGCCCCAAACCTTCGCCTCCGGTACCTCTCAAGTTTGAGTCATCCATCATGCTGAGTGCCGTGACCCTTCGTAAACCCAGTGGTCTTGGTTTTTAAAGTGCCTTGGCATTGCTGATTTTCATCCTCAGGCTGGAGGCCTCTGGCTAAGCAGTTTATAAATTCCCATTTACTATATTCTGTTCTGAACCCTTAGGCCTCCAGCAGGGCCTTTGAGGTTGTAAGGCAGACGCTCCTTCCTGTGTGGTAAGGTGACTCTTAAGTGGCTCTCTTGTACTTTCAGCTTCATTCCAGCTCGTCTCTCTCTGTACTCTGCTGTAAGTTATACTTTAAAATGAAACTTTCAAACATGACAATATGGTTACAAAAGTTTTTTTTGACGTGTGCTCAAATTGATAAACCAGCCGACTGACTGAATAATCAGCCTCCTTGATTTTTTGTTTGAGACGTGTATTGATGACTGCTCTAGGAAACTGCTGTCTTGTCATTCTGCTAACACCTGTCTCTTGATCCTGGAGGAGATACTGACTAGGCAGTTGAGAAAGCGAGGTTCTTAATTTCAGGTGAGACTTCTGGACTAGAGAAAAAAATTGAGGACTCCAACATATAAATGGTCAGACTGGATGAGAGCACTAAGAACTTAAACATGTTTTATAGCAGCATGTTGTTTGTAAATGAGTGGAAGCAATAGAAATTGTCATCAAAACAGACCAGATAAAAATATCTATATCCATAAAATGCTGTCTTAGTTCAGGCTGATACAGTAAAAATACCATGGACCGTGTGCTTTAACAACAAATATTTCTCAGAGTTCTGGAGACTAACCAGCATCAAGGTGCTGGGCAGATTCAGGCAGATCGGGTGTGTGATGAGGACCCATTTCCTACTTCATAGCCTACTGTCTTCCTGCTGTCTTCACGTGGCAGAGTTCAATGAATGCAGGCATGAATGTTCTACACAAGGACACAGGCCCTCTCCCACTCTCAGGCCCACCAAAGTGCTGCCATGATTGATTCCTTATCTGTAATTCTTTGACTTGTCACTGCCTGAATCAATCAGCATGACAGGTTTTCTCTGTCTCTTAGGAATGATGCAGGAGTGGTATATCAAGCAGCATTATCTTTGTTCTGAACAAGGACTTCAGGAGTGTTAGGTCTGAGAAAGACCTAACCTTTTTACCCAGGTAGTGGGTATGACTAAAATGAGTATGATACAATCTACGAGGTTTATGAACTAAAAAAAGGCCAACCACAAAAGAAGGTGATCTATGGAGCAGCCACACTTCCCTTCAGTGTAGGAAATCTGTATCCACATATTTTATTACATATCTGAATGGAGGACAGGAAATTCTAATTTGCTTACTGGTGTACCCCAATGCTTAAACAATAGCTGGCACATTACACAAAATCAACATATATGTCCTGAAGGGCACCAGGATTACATTACTCTCCTAAATAGGCCCATTTTTTCTCCTCTAGTCATCCAAAACGCAGCTTTGAACCCTCCCCATTGTCAGTTTTAGTTAAGGAAGGCTAGGTAATTATATCATTCCCCTCCAAATCTTGGAGGACAGTTATCAGGTGGGAAAGAAACTGAAAAAATTAGGGGAAACACTAGAACTAACATACTGAGGCTGAAATCAGACAGCCCTCTATAAAAATTACACAGAAAAGAACTCAGTGATAGAGGCATTTGTGAATACCTTTTAGATGGAAATACTCTTTCCCTACTAGCCAACCTCAAGTAAATTCATGTCCCTTCAACTGAGTTCTAATGTCTGATATGCTACTGGAACATATAATTGTATGAGAGATTTTCTTGTTTAAAAACTTTCTGTGGCTACGACAGACCAAGCATAGACCAAGGAGGCCATACTTTAGCAAGAGAACATCTTCACAGACCAACAGGCCTACCCTACAAACTTCATCTCCTGCTACCCTGCCTGGAGATTATATATTTATAAACTTGAGATATAATCTACATACCATAAAATTTCATCCACATTTTTTAGTGTACAAGCAATAAACTTTAGTATATTTGCTTAGTTGTACAACCATCACTACAGTTTAATTTTAGAATATTTCAATCACCCTAATTTCCATTTCTCTGTGACAGAAGGCAAAAGTATGGTTTACTACCGAGCGCTGTGTTGACACCGAAATATAGGGAAGCGCGTTTTTTTCATAACTTCTTCTGAACTAAATGCCTGGGTTTCCTTGCTGTCTGAATCCGGCTTCTTTTGCACACCATTTCAGATTAGTTTTTTAATCGAGACAAATCACCCCATTAGTAGCGGTAATTTCAGTACTGTTCTCAGGACATGAGACTCAGATGTGTTTCATAACCCGTAAAAAAAGATTTACTAAACCCGGCCTTTGCCTTTTCTCGCTCGATTTCCCACCCCGTATTTCTGTCCCGTGGTAAAGCAGAGATCATTAGTTCTGATAAGCTGACCCTCATGGGTGGGGCTTGGCGACCAAGTTTTTCCCCTTAGTTTTCCACTTTTAATAATCTGCGCCGCTACCATGAGGGCGAGTGATTCTATACGTATATACGTTTTACTAAACCCCGCAATGTTTTCTAGTTCAGGGCTAGTGTTCCATTTCCACTATAGCACTCAACTGCTTCTCAGCTAATAGTTGCAGCTCTTTTTAAGAGTATTTGGGTGGCCCTGAAAAGGGCCTTTAGGTTGAAATCAAACTGAGGGCAAACCGGAAAGCTTAACCACCAAAACCGTAGAGGGTACGGCCCTGGCGCTTGAGAGCGTAGACCACATCCATAGCGGTGACAGTCTTCCGCTTGGCATGCTCGGTGTAGGTGACTGCATCCCGGATCACATTCTCCAGAAACACTTTCAGGACGCCGCGGGTCTCTTCGTAGATGAGCCCAGAGATGCGCTTCACGCCGCCACGACGAGCCAAGCGGCGAATAGCAGGCTTAGTGATGCCCTGGATGTTGTCGCGCAGAACCTTACGGTGGCGCTTAGCGCCGCCTTTCCCCAGGCCTTTGCCGCCTTTGCCGCGTCCCGACATGGCTTCCCAAAAAGTAAACCAACAGCAACAGACGAGTAAGCCGAGAGCAGATTCTTATATACCTACTCCCTCCGTCCCTCCCCCCACAGAGGGCACGGAAAGCGTGCAAGCCGGAAGTGTGACGCCATCAATCCCCGCCCTTAATCCCGCCTCCAAGCCCCCGGGAACAGGCGCCAAAAGAACTGAAGGGCCGGAAGTGAGAGGCGGATCAGGTTGGGCTCTACCGTTTTAACTAAAGTAATTAGAGGAAGCAGGCTTAGAGCAAACATATTACAAATATCCTAGGTAGAACAGATTCTTTAAAGGGCGAAAATTTACTATCAATGATTTGTCGTAAAAATGTCAAAATCAGAGATAGAAATGTAAAAATGGTTATACTATCCTGACGTTCAAAAGGCCCTATTATAAAAACATCTGCAAATGTCACTCTGCGTGCCTCCGAAACTCTGGCTCTTCATTAAAATATAGCAGTACTAAAGACAAAGGGCCAGTTTGTTCGCATATGCAGGGAATATTGAAACAAAAAAGCACCCATGACCCGAGTGTTATTGATGAATGTTCTTTCCATCCCCAAAGCAGTATATTCAACTACTGTAGTTGGTTTGTCTTACAGCCGTTTTACTTGAAAACGTGGGTGGCTCTGAAAAGAGCCTTTGGTTGAAATCTCAAGACTGTAATTTATGCCCTCTCCCCGCGGATCCGACGGGCTAGCTGGATGTCCTTGGGCATGATGGTAACGCGCTTTGCGTGAATAGCGCATAAATTGGTATCCTCGAAAAGACCCACCAGATAGGCTTCACATGCCTCCTGCAGTGCCATCACCGCCGAACTCTGGAAGCGCAAGTCGGTCTTGAAGTCCTGGGCAATCTCACGCACAAGGCGTTGAAAAGGCAGTTTACGGATAAGAAGCTCTGTGGACTTTTGGTAGCGGCGGATCTCGCGCAGGGCCACCGTGCCAGGACGGTAGCGGTGAGGCTTTTTTACGCCGCCAGTGGCCGGTGCACTCTTACGAGCCGCCTTGGTGGCCAACTGTTTGCGTGGTGCCTTGCCACCGGTAGACTTACGGGCAGTTTGCTTAGTACGAGCCATGACAAGTAACCGCGAAGCAGATATGCCTAACACTAGCCCAAGTAAATCGCCCAGTATTTTTTGCTGATATTTATAGTACGTCAGGGGTAGTGATTGGGCGGGAGAAAAGTTTGAATATTACGTTACAGGTTCTGATTAGTCTAGCTTTAAACTTTCCAAAAACCGTGCAGTTTCATTGGCCGCTTCCTTCTATCCTCAGCTCTTTTCAATTTTTTTTTTTTTTTTTTAGTTTTGTTCTTTTCCACACACGATTTTCCTGTAAATGCAATGCTCTGGGCGTTACCTTTTCAGAAAAATAGACATTCACTTCATTGATATTGTAGTAATGTAGGTTTTCTTAGTCCCCTGAGTCGGGTGGGAATTGAGGGTACAGTCCCTGGTCTGTAACCCTATATCGGGTTAGAAATTTTTAAAGCCATTTTACCAAAAAAGAGAGATCCCTTTGTAAAGCTTAAACTGACCGACGAACTTCTTTGAAACCTACAAGATGTAACCACAAAAACAGTAAAAAAAAAAAAAAAAATCACACTAGCGTTTCCAGAAGTATTTTCTGTAATAAGCCACCTTTTCCTTATGCTCTGACTTTACATTTGGAGCTTTCTGAAACTAAAGTCTAGAATACACTTAGCCTGGTGCAATGCCGGGTAGACAACGGCGGGACAGCCACAAGGGATCAGAGGAATTTCCCCATGGGAAGCAGGCGATGGACTAAACTCAGTGAACAGATTATGGACCAAAACGAAGACAATTTACTACTGCCAGTGACTGATCTTTTTTTTAAAAACCCAAATGTGAACCGTTATGCGAAGGCGGTAGTCCAGATTCTACCTTTTGATTGGTAGAGTCCATTTTACTTGGTAGCCAGTAAGAATGCATATCTAGCATCCCTCATTTGCATGGAGCATTTCCCTTTAATTTGAAACTTGTTAAACCCATTAGACACAGGCGGTATAAATCATTCTTTAAACAAGAAATTGTTGCGTGCAGTATTTCCCTTTTAAAAACTTTTGATTAGATGCCACATTTATTACTATAGGAAAAGCTTATATCTTTCTAGAAATGTCCATTTATGAAAACTTCCTCTTGGAGGAAGATTGTATACCTGTGTTATAATTGTCTTTTAAACCAAGACGCCTAGCTCCAATTGTTCTTACCTCTTCCAAGTTATTAGAAATTACGTAATGGGTTTTGTAAATACAGACTCAAGAAAATGACAGTTAAGAAATGGTAGAGATGGGCGACTCTCGTGTCTGGGTTCAGTCGTGTCCGACTCTGCGACTCCACGGACTGTAGTCCGCCAGGGTCCTCTGTGCCTGGGATTCTCCAGGCAAGAATACTGGAGTGGGTTGCCATTCCCTGTGTCTTAGAACCTTTTATTACTGGCCACAAGGCGGAAACGAGCTCTTGGGTTTTTTGAGGGTTACTGGGGAAAATTCGGGTTACTGAGACCAGTGCGGACTTGTTTGAAAACCGCAGGTATTCGCGCGGGAATGACTTGTCACTGCTTCATTCTCTCTACTGCTAGGAGATTGCCCAGGACTGAATTGTAAGGGACGGTTACCCAGAGTGGGGTTGTGAAAGGGGAGTTTTAGTCTCAGTAGTTAGTCTGATTCGCATTGTGAAGTCGTTTTAGCATTGTTGCTGCTTTTACAGCCACAAACAAGTTAAAGAGACAGTGCCCTAAAATATATCTCGGGGCTATGTTCTCTCATTTTCATACTAAAGCAACTTTTCCCCCTGCTCCCACATTCTCCCTGTGTGCAGTGCCTATCCGGGCACAGTTTAGTCCACCCAGAGGCTACTTGATGTCTTTCGTGTTCTAGGTTTGCAGCTTGGTATATGTTATGAGGATGAAAGGCAATCCAAAATTTGTTACGTGCATTGGGCTGTGGAAATAAGTTGAAATTACATAAATTGCGTGCTAAGTTTTCCACAGGTGCAGCTTGAGTGTCAGTTGCAGTGTTAACCAATTCTTTTGTTTTCTGCAATTCTCCTTTGTCCCAAATACATAAACGCACCCTGGTTCAGACCAAGGGCACTCGCGTCTCGGGTCTTTACCACACATACTCAGCGTTGCCAGGAAAGGAATTGGCATCAATGAGAACTTTTCCCAAACCTGCAGACCAGGCCTACATACTCTCGCTTTCCTCTCTCCCTTTCAGTCATCCAAGATATAACCTTTTGAATTGATTGCAGATTAGAAACTGATATCCCTTGGCAGTGCTTCCTAGAGGCGAGGTTTCAGGTGAAACTCCTTGGATTCCTACGCAATTGCCTATTTACAGCTCTTCCTCCCACCCCCAAAAGGAAAAAAACAAAAAACCCTGCTTTTTTAAAAAAGAAGTCGCATCCTCTGATGGTAATGGCCCGGACCCTACCCTGCCGAGTGGAGTATTTCCGTCTCCACTGGGCGACCGGCGTCGGGGTGAGGGGTGGAGAAGGATGCTGTCTGGGTGCTTCAGTGCAAGCAGCAGGAAAGCAGGACCATAGGCGCCAGCGGCCGGCTGCTGCCTTGCGAGACCCAGCCGGGAGGGCAGGGGGCGCTAGGGTGCCGGGGGCGGGCGCCAGCGCTCACCAATCACAGCGCGGCCCCGCCCTATAAATATCGCGCGCCGGAGCTACCCGCGTCTTATTGCCTCGTTGGGTCTAGCGGTTTAGTTAGTTTCTCTTTACTTTCGCCATGTCCGAAGTCGTGCTCCCCGCTCCAGCTGCTTCCACTCCCCCTGAGAAGCCTTCAGCTGGTAAGAAGGCGAGGAAGCCTGCGAAGGCTGCAGCAGCCGCCAAGAAGAAACCCGCGGGCCCTTCAGTTTCGGAGCTGATTGTACAAGCCGTTTCCTCCTCTAAGGAGCGCAGCGGTGTGTCCCTGGCCGCACTGAAGAAGGCGCTGGCGGCCGCTGGCTACGATGTGGAAAAGAACAACAGCCGCATCAAGTTGGGTCTTAAGAGCCTAGTGGGCAAAGGCACCTTGGTGCAGACCAAGGGCACCGGCGCCTCGGGTTCTTTCAAGCTCAACAAGAAAGTAGCCTCCGTGGATGCTAAGCCCAGCGCCACAAAGGTGGCAACGAAAACCAAGGTAACAAGCGCTTCTAAGAAGCCCAAGAAGGCCGCTGGGGCGGCTGCTACTAAGAAAGGTGTCAAGACTCCAAAAAAGGCTAAAAAGCCTGTGGCGACAAAGAAGTCCTCCAAGAGTCCTAAGAAGCCCAAGGCTGTGAAGCCTAAGAAAGTAGCCAAGAGCCCTGCCAAAGCCAAGGCTGTGAAACCCAAAGGGGCCAAAGTAAAGATAACCAAGCCAAAGACCGCTGCCAAACCCAAGAAGGCAGCACCCAAGAAGAAGTAAAGTTCCGGTTGGAAGCTGCTTCCAATAAACCAACGGCTCTTTTAAGAGCCACCAACTTATTTCAGGGAAAGAGCTTTATTACCACACTTCTTTTTTTCTTTTTGCCCTCATGCAAATAGTGTGTGCAAGCCATTCTTGGCTGTACATCAGCATCCTTTTGAGGCTAAATTAAACTCACGCTGTGGGGTTAGAAGTTGGTGTTTTGGGCCTCAAACGATTTCCCTAATCCCATTTTAACCTGCAGCTTACATTTTTACTTGTATGTCAGAAACAAGCGGGGGAACTTTGGGGCCTATGCTTTAGTCCCAATACCCCAAAGTAGTTCTCAGCGGCACGACTGAGGGCTGGGTCCGTGTACCATGTACTCGTTTGTCTGTTAGATTTCTCTGGTGTTATCTGAGATCAAGGCCAGGATATAGGTTCTTGGGCCATATCGCTATCGCTAAATTGGCTTTTTCCAAAATTGGGTGGCTCTTAAATGCTTTTAAGGTGACCTTGGGAACGACGGTGATCCGCCGGCTTACCCGGCACTCAGATTGGTGTCTTCGGAAGCCTTAGGCTGCGCCATCGAGGCCAGGCTCGGCCGACTTACCGCTGGACCATTTGCAGGGCAGGTTGTCAGCTAGTTTCCCGCCAGGGTCAGGAGAACTTGGCTGCCCTGGAATTTTAGAGCTAAAGCCCAAAACCTTTTACCAGGTTTCTCTGCTCCTGGAGACAGAACTGCCCAGATTGGATAATATTTGAAATTTCCCCTCTGTGCCTAACTAGATAGTATTTCTCCCGGCGCAGGGTTTTCAACCCTGGTGTGCTACACCAGGGGACACTTTTATAGAATTGGCTCTTTCGAAGTTTTAATTTCGGAATTCAGTTTAATTACTACTTTTTTCACATCCAAGGGGAAAAAACACAATACCATATGTTGAGCCCGGTTTACTCACTTAAACTTAACGAAACTCAATTAGTTGTAAAACTTTTACATATAAGGGTGCAAACTTTTTTTTATGTGAATACCAAGCATTTAAGTTTTTTTGTACTGTATTTGCTAAGAATTTCCACAGTAAATTTGAATAATACTTTTAGTAGTCAGCCTTGTTTAGTTCTTGGTTTTAATTAACATGGTATTATTTTGTCCTTTAGCATAATGTTATTAATTTTTTGTATCTCCACTATATTTAAATGGTTCCCTTCAATTGTTTTCTACTTTTTTAAATTAAATGGCAGCTAGACTTTCTTCATGTATTGATATTATCATGTGGTTTTTCTCTTTTAATTTGTTCAATGCTTTCTTAGATGTTGTGAGCTCTCAAACTCAATGTGGCTGAAAGAATAAACTAGAAGAATGAGATGAGTTTTCCTAAAATGATCATCTATAAGAGAGAAGCAAGTGTGCTATGATGGAGCTGGGAGGGTGAATCAGAAATTTTGTTGTGAAACTCAGAGTCTTAAGAGATTTCCCAAGCGGATAAGGGAGTAAATTAACTGGGTTCAAATGTTGCTGATAGACTGAAGTGACTAGATGCCTGAGAATAGTTCCTTGGTTTAGTGGTATGGATGTCAGTAGCAGCTTTGACAGTAGTTTAGGGGAGGATGGAGTTGAATTAAGTTGGAGCCATACATTTTGGAATCATTGGTATATGGATGGCATTTAAAGTCATGAGACTTGGTGAGGTCACCAAGGGGGTGAATGAGGTGGAGAATATAAAGAACGGTAAAGGATAGAGAAGACCTGGTCCTGACATTTTATCACCCATAAAAATGAATCATTATTCCACCTCTTTGTGCTTCCCTTTGCTTATTTATTGTAAGTTAAGCTCTTTGTGCACAAGCCAAGAGTCTTGCCTCCTGGTGCACATGGCTGAGCACAGAACTTGCCTGCAATTGTGAAGACAGTTCCATTGTGAAGACAGTTCCATTCTCTCAGCTGTGGAGTTCAGTATTTAAAACTGCTGCTAAACTCTCAGTTTTAAAAGAGGGAACCTAGCTCAGGGGAAGAAACTATGACTGTTTGCAGGAGTTCATCTTTACATGGTACAGGTTAGATTAAAACTCCTCAGCAGGTATTCAGTATATGCTGATTCTTTCTGTCTCCATCCTGAGTTTCCAGTCAGTTTCTATCTTGGAAGCCCCCTTTCATGAGCCCACAGTCGTCTCTCATTCTGTCAATACATCTTCACCAATAAATCAGAAGCTTTCTCAACTGTAGCCAGAGCACCTCGAACCTGTTCCTTCCATAAGGAAGATTTTTAAAAAGGTAGAACTCAGAGATTTGCAGCTAAAGGGGGCCTTCCTAAAGACAACAAGCTGACACTTCTGGAATTCAAGTGAAACAAAAGTGATATTAAAATGTCAGAGTGCAGGACTTCAAGAGCACCTTCAAGAGGACCCCCAAAGGGATGTATTCACCTAGAACAAGGAGAGAAGAAATTATGGAATGAGGAACTTGATGTTCCCAGAGTTGTCCAGCAGAGGGAGGCCTCTGGCTGATGGCAGGCTGCCACAGAAAAGGTAGAAATTGGAGGCCTTTAATAACCATCATGTTCCCTACTTCTAAGTGACTAGAAAAATGGTTACCCATTTAAAAAAATTTTTTTGCTAGGAAAAAAAGAACTATACTTACTTTTATATCAAATTTATTTAGAATTTTCTATCAAATCCTAATTTAAAAAACTTTAAATGTGTTCTTACACTTGTTATCAGATAGGACACATTTAAGTTTCAACTGATTTGAAGGTTTGTAACTTAGACAGCATATTAAAAAGCAGAGACATCACTTTGCCAACAAAGGTCCGTCTAGTCAAAGCTATGGCTTTTCCAGTAGTCATGTATGGATGTGAGAGTTGGACTATAAAAAGAAAGCTGAGCGCCGAAGAATTGATGCTTTTGAACTGTGGTGTTAGAAAAGACTCTTGAGAGTCCCCTGGACAGCAAGGAGATCCAACCAGTCCATCCTAAAGGAAATAAGTTCTGAATATTCATTGGAAGGACTGATGTTGAAGCTGAAACTCCAATACTTTGGCCACCTGATGCGAAGAGCTGACTCATTTGAAAAGCCCCTGATGCTGGGAAAGATTGAAGGTAGGAGAAAGGGATGACAGAGGATGAGATGGTTGGATGGCATCACCGACTCAATGGGCATGAGTGTGAGTAAACTCCAGGAGTTGATGATGGATAGGGAGGCCTGGTGTGCTGCAGTCCATGGGGTCGCAGAGGTGGACACAACTGAGCAACTGAACTGAAGTGAACATATAGTTTGGATTATTGCATGAATTACAAAGGTGATGGCTAGTAGAAAGCTTACTAATCTTACGTTTCTCTGTCTTCCAGCTACTAAAACAAACAAAACCCAGTAAGGCCAAAACTTCATCATCTTATCTGCCATATTTCAGCAAGACATAACAATACATAAATCTGACTGCATGTTGGTGGAGTTCCTACCCATGGCTTTGGTTTTCTCTATAAAAAGGGCAAAAGTCCTGGGTAAAAGCAAGGTCTGATATGGTGGCAAAACAGAAATGAGGAGGGAGGGGAAATCTCTATTTGCCAAGGTGGAGCATGGGGAGGCAATTGGCTCCCAAACCCAGCAGAAATTCCAGGAGAGATCTCCTCAAAAAGCAACCTTCATCGGAGAAGGCCTGAGCCCTGCAGGAAGGGATAGAGAATTTCTTTCCCACACCTCACGGACCCACAGGCACTGTGTATGTACTGTGATGTATGTATGAGGGGTGTCATCCTTTGATCCTGGGGTCCCAGTGGAGAAGATAAAAAGCAGACTGTGGGGAGGATCATAACCAGGAGGTGATAATTTGGACAGTGACCAGAAAGGAATAGGATGGGGATGTATAAAGCTTCATCCAATTATCTGGTCTCAAGATTTCCAAAGAAATGGATCTCAGTGGTCCCAGATGCTTCTGGGAGAACTCTGCCCAGTTAGCATTACACAACTTTCACTCTGCAACAGTATCACTCCCTGCTTCCCTTGTTTTAGCTTTTATCTGTCCAAACAGTAATCACACAGTCACAGAGCCTTGGATATGGACCCTTAAAGCTCCTTGAAGACAATGCCTTCCAACCCCTCCTGCAGCAGAGAATACAATAAAATAACTCATATAAGATGCCCAGGTAGTTAATAGCAGTTAATACACACAGAATAAGTATAAAATTTGACATGTTTATAAGTGTTACATTAACTATAATTTTAAAGCACTGCTTATTGTGTTTGCCTAATAACCACATGATACAATAGTATTTGATGTGATCTGTTAGTGGCTCAATTATGTCCAACTCTTTGCAATCCCATAAACTGTAGCCCACCAGGCTCCTCTGTCCATTGGAATTCTCCAGGCAGTAATACTGGAGTGGGTTCCCATTCCCTTCTCCAGGGGATCTTCTCAACCCAGGGATCAAACCTGAGTCTCCTATACTTCAGGCAGATTCTTTACCATCTGAGCCACAGGGGGCCTTACAATAGTTATATATCTTATTAAGTGTAACATAGACTTGTAGAAGGTGTATCTGTCACAACTCCATTCTTTGCTTAGGGCTCCAGGTTCATCATATTATGCACAGCTGCCTAAGGACTTATGCTTATAACATAAAAAAAAAAAAAAAAAAAAAACCTCAACAAAATACAGAAGACATATGTGAATAGATATGGCAGGATGGGAGGGAGAGGTGGGGAAGGCAATGGGAAGAAGGAGATGGGAGAGGGCAAACTGATAGGGGTGGGGACAACTCCAGAAGTGTAGAAAGAGATTCCACACAACTGAAGCCCATGGGAGACTGATGACATTAATGTGTAAATGGAATGAGTCCCAAGGCAATGGGGAGTCGGGAGTGGTAGGGCCAAGGGGACACCAGAGAGCACATATGAACATTCTGTACCCAATTATAAGCTGTCTGTCCTCCTTCCCAGTCCCCTATCCCTCTATATACCACCAAGTTCTCAATTCTTGGTAGAAGGCATAACCATTAAAGGTCTTAGATTAGAGAATCATTCATTCATTCAACAAATATTTATCTATTTATTTACTTATTTCTTTATTGGCTTTCTGGATCTTAGTTCCCCCGACCAGGGATCTAACCCAGGTCCAAGGTAGTGAAAGCATCAAGTCCTAACCACTGGATCACTAGGGAATTCCCTTAACAAATATTTACTGTGTATCTACTATGAACTAAGTACTGTAACAGGTACAAAAACACTCTTATTCTCTATAAAACTTAATTTCTTCATTAGTAAAATGGAGATGTTAATGCCTGATTTACCCATCATTCTAAGCCCAACCAACCCTTTGCGACAGCAGTAAGTAACCTGAAGTTTTTGGGGTTTTTTTTAATCAATTTCTCTAAATAGTCCTTCCAGTCTCTGGTGGATGCTGGCATGCCCCAAAGACCCATCCTGATGGCAATGCTCACCTCTGCACCACTGTTCTACAGTTCTACAAGGTCTCCCCTACCCTGTGGAGTCTTACAGCTCTCAGCCTGCTCTGGTCCTGATCTGCTTTGCCTTGCATATACATAAAGACCTTTTTCCCTGGTGGCTCAGGCAGTAAAGAATCTGCCTGCAATGCAGGAGACCTAGGTTTGATCCCTGGGTCAGGAAGATCCCCCGGAGAAGGGAATGGCTACCCACTCCAGTATTCTTGCCTGAAAAATTCCAATGGACAGAGGAGCCTGGCTGGCTATACTCCATGGGGTCACAAAGAGTCGAACATGACAGACTGACTTTCATTTCAGTTTCATGACCAAGATATTATGGGAAATCTAGAATTTCCCCTCAACAACACTGAGTGCTAGGAGAATAAAAGAAAATACAACTGGGACTTAAAAGTGGGTATTAGAAAAGACTTCTCTCCAAATCCCTTGGAGGTGATTGTTCTCCAGTGGTGCTGCAAATGTAGCTCCTTCCACTTTGTGGCTTGTCTCTCTTCAGGTCGTGGCTCCAAGGATGCCATGGGGCTAGTCTGACTCATGGACTCTAAAGAGAAAAAGGATGGAGAACTGTGACTGGCAGTTCTGAAGGGGTACACGCCACTTTTGGCTAAGTCTAAAGGGGTACACACCACTTTTGCCTACCTTCTACAAACTAATATTCAGTCATTTGACAAGAAGGGTCTAACTTCTTTTCAAATTCAGTCATTTGACAAGAAAGAGTCTAACTTTGAATCCAAGAAGAAGAGGAAAGGGACCGTACTTAACAAAAGTTTAATAATCTCTGACACAGGTGCTTTGCTGACTCTCATTGTCTGGCTGTGACCTTTCTCCCCATCCTGCCACATCACAGAGGCCAGCATCAATTGGTTGGTTTTGAGATGAACCAGTGCAGCACCTCAAATACAGAGCCTACTGATAAAAAGATGTACAAGCCAAATGATTCTGATCATTATGAATCATGTCAATAAGAGGTAGTAGCTGAGGTAATTTTTATTTTTGATCTTTATTTTTTATTTCATCGAAATCCCTTTTATACAGTAAACTACACATAATTTAAATGTGCAGCTTGATGAGTTTTGACAAATGTATATCTGCATTTACCACCACTATAATCAAGGCTTAAAATTGTCAAGATGTTAATTCTCTCCAAGTTGATATATATAGCCCAGGGAATTGCCTACAAAGAGGCACAGGGGAACTATCTAAGTTGATGGAAATATTCTGTGTCTTGATTAAGGTGGTAACTACACATACTGGTCTATAAAACTCATTGACACTAATACAGGTGCATTTTATTGTGTATAAGTTATCTTTCAATAAAGTTGATTTTTTATTATATTATTGGCTGGAATGGGGTGACAATTATTTTAAGGATAATTAGGCACAATACAACATTAAGAATTGTATAATCAACTCATTATTATATATGAAAAAAGGGATAAACAGTGGCATGATGAATTAAAATTAAAAACCTCTAAATTTTATTTTAGCCTATGGTTTTAAAAGCTGCCCTCCTTAACAAAAGCTACTCTTCAACTTTCCAAGTTCCATTATTCTGGTTGTTTCACATTGTTCTCATTTATCAGCTTATCTATCAAGAAAAAGCTATCAGATAAAGTCATTCATGTGGGGATAGAAACATATGTTAAACTTTAGTGAACACTTTAATTTTGAAAGAAAATACTGGTTAGACAAATAAAACTAAAAAGATCAATACTTAATGGTAAGACTACACCTACTGAAACAAGTAAATGGGAAGAGCTGGAGAACAGGCCCTTTCTAGATTCTCCCTTCTCTCCCTCCCCACCCCAGCACATACCCTGGGCCTTCATACACATGGGATCACCAACTCGAACCACCTGGTCTAAATTAGGGCTCCTGCTGAGCAGCTAGGGTTAGCTCTCTCCAGTGTTAGTCGTTCATTGTATCTGATTCTTTGCAACCCCACGGACTGTAGCCCACCAGGCTCCTCTATCCATGGGATTCTTCAGGCAAGAATACTGGAGAAGAGTGGGTTGCCATTCCCTTCTCCAGACAATCTTCCTGACCCAGGGATTAAACCCAGGTCTCCTACATTGCAGGCAGATTCTTGACCATCTGAGTCACCAGGGAAGCCTTGAGGTTAAGGACTATGCTACTTGAACCCTAGGTGACATCATATTGATATGTCCTCTCTCTCACTATGCCACATCTGAGTACCTGGCAGCACTTATTAAGAGTAACTGTTGGAATCTGAAAGTCTACCACTGGGAGGGTGAAAAGGTTAACTGGATGGGAGGGAGGGGAAGGAGAGGTGCACACACACTAGGATTAGATAGGATTTAGATAAATTACATACAGCAACAGGAAAGGTCTTACACACATGTTGAAAGGTCTTTGGGAAACATCTTAGAAACAGCATGAGATCACAGTAGCAGAGCCTGCTAGTTCTCCACACTGTGGAAGTATACAGCCTAAATGTTCTTCAACAGAGGGACACAGGAGCACATTATGATTTATTCTTTCAATGGGATGGACTACACTGCGTGCATCTACATAGGTAAACAAAATCAATACCACATGGGGAAAAAAGCAAGGGACAGAAGTTTAGATATAAAAGGTCAGTGCAACAAGACAACATTTAATATTGCTTTAGTGAAAGTGAAAGTGAAAGTCACTCAATCGTGTGACTCTTTGCGACCCCAAGGACTTTCGTGGAGTTCTCCAGGCCAGAACACTGGAGTGGGCAGCCTTTCCCTTCTCGAGAGGATCTTCACAACCCAGGTATCGAACCCAGGTCTCCCACATTGTAGGCAGAGGCAGATTCTTTACCAGCTGAGTCACAAGGGAACTCCCAAGGACACCAGGGAGTGCTGGATATTGCTTTGCTTGACCTTAAAAATTCATGGAAATTATGTCATCTAATCTTAGGGAAAATACTTTTTAATATTTTTAACAAAAGCAGTTACT